GAACTTCTTCACTCCGCTGTTTCTTATACCCTGGATCATTGAGGCATGGTTGCCAGCGTCAGAGTAAATTTCACAACCTGAAGGAGTAAACGCATTTAAAAGAAGTTACATTTACTACTATGGATTTCAGTAAATCAGCAAAAACATGGAACTTAAGGTCACATGTTGTAATATTTACCTATTTAATTTACCTGGAAGCATTTTTGCCAGAGTAAACAACGTCGAGTCATTGGCTACAAAGCAGGAAGTGAACAGCAGTGCGGCATCCTTCTTGTGCAGGTCAGCTAGCTCCTGTTCCAGTTCCACGTGAAATTTGCTCGTCCCTGAAATATTTCGTGTGCCTCCAGCACCGGCACCGTGCTTTCTTACAGTGTCCCTTTAAGAAAAAAAAGAGTTGGTTTATTATCTTCAAACTTTTTATTCTTGTTTTTTTTTTTGTCAGTCTGATCCAAAATAATCAGCATCTTCATATGAGTTCTGATCAATCGGGATTACGGGGGATCCCTAATCAGTGCACCAACTCACATAATTGTCTGGGTGACTTTGGGGTGACGACTCATGCCAAGGTAGTCGTTGCTGCACCACACTGACACCTCTCTGCGGGCATACACTGACTCTGAGAAGTCGTCTGCCATGGGGAATGAGGAGGCCAGCCTGTTCACGGTCTTAAAAACCCTGTACGTGTGATCCTTCTTCTGGCCTTCAATCTTCTTTTCAAAATACTTGTCATACTGGAAGGTGATGGCTAATGGACGATACATGGAAAAAGGATTTTAGATGCTTCAACAAAAATATATTAAAGTATTTTTGCTCATTTTGAAAATGTCTTTCTTACCCTCGGGCAGATTGTCCTTGAGCAGGTGAGACACTTTGGAAGATATAGGTTTAAAAAACGTTTTTGGTGTCTTTGTGTTGTTTATGTCTGCCTCGATAAGTTCCACAACTGATAAATCCACATCTTTTTTCCCTGTTTAAGAAATATGTTATCTTAATAAATGCATAACATCAACTTGCTATGAACATGTCACCAGAGTGTCAAGGCTACAAACCATGACCTTTTTACAAATGACAAGACACTGTATGTGTATTCAACTAAAGGTGATTTCGGCTGTGTGTTTGCTTACCTGTGCGAACAGAATGCATTTCCTGGACGTCCTCTTGCAGCTCCATGCGGGCCTCTCTTACTACCCTGTTGTTTTTCTGCCCCATTTCTGCAGCCAGGAAGGGGCATTTGGAGCCTGCAGTTTGACCAGCAGGTGGCGTAAAGTGACCTGGGGGCATCTTAACTTCCTGCTTCTGATCTAGGGACAGCAACACAGTTCATAATCATAAGCTGTCAACAGAATTACTATCGTTAGCATTAAAATATTTTGAATTGTGAAAGAGGTAATCATACATAATAGAATGCATTACAACTGACCTTCATTTGTTGGTGTGCCTTTGGACGAAGAAGCTGAAGAGGACACTGTTCGGGCCAGAGGTCTGGAGGCCAGGTCCATCATCACGGGGCATCTTTGGGCATATTTCCCCAGCGACAACTTCCCAGCCAGATGCAGAACACCGGGAACTACAGTGAGGAAAGGGCACCGGCGGATTGCTGCCTCCATGTGAGATACCCTTGAACTAAAGTAAAAGGAGAAAAGACAACCCATTACATACACAACACAAAGATCAGACATTAAAATGCAAACTTAAATAAAAGGTGGATACCATAGGCAGCGTAACGAAGAAATAATCCAATTAATCGAAGTACAATTTTAACGGGTAACATTTGAGATTTTTTTACAAAAATGATCCCCTAAAAATCTTGCTCTCCGTTGTCTCCTTTAGTGCCACTCTTTTACCTGAACACATCCCAGTCCACCTTGATGTAACACAAAAACCTCTTGCGAAACATGACGAAAAACTCCACACTGACCAGCGAGACCCAAGAGAAAATTATGTTTAAAACTAGAGAGAACACTTTCATTCCTGCTTCCCTGTAGTCAGCTGTCCTTGACAAGTCTGAGAGGGAAGGCCTCTCAAGGACCTGTCTTGAAACGAAGGAGAAAAAGAGCCATCTGGCTGCTGAGATAGAACATATGAAGGCTATAGGCCAGGGGCGGGGAACCTTTTTCCTCTCAAGGGCCATTTCAATTTTTTCAACATCCTCCGAGGGCCGTACAAATTATTGACCTCTGCTTAAAAATACTAAAATCACAGCCCATTCATTTGGCCTTTCTTTAATGCTGACGTGTCATCATGGACACAAGATGTGTACAAATGTATTTAGTTTCCTATCCATGTGGACATGATTTAAGTGGTGGGGGACCTAACCTAACCTAACCTTTAAACATTTTTTTTTTAAATGTTGAAGTTAAAAGCATCAATCTGGTGCACTTTGAGAGCAACCTTAGGAGATCTATGGATACAGATCTCAACACCTATATGAAACAGAACGGTAAGCAGATTTCTCTTTCTTTATGGATATTTTACTCCCCTTTCAAACTGTATTCTTGTTTATTAATTAGAACTTTTACTGTCAAAGTATGTTATACCTGTTTACATTATTCTCTTATTTTTTCATAACTATAATGATCATCAAGATGTGCCTTTACCTCACTGGTTGGAGAAAAAGCTTCTTATATTCGTTAGCATAGCTAGCTAACCATATGCTAATAACAACAAAGTTATTGACTGTATGATCAGTATGACAGATGAACAGATCGCCACTGGGCTTACAACTAAGACACAGCCACGCAAAAACTTCGGCATGTGTACGGCCCCTTATGGGTACTGCAATTTTAGCGGCGTTCTGGTGCTCTCCATCAGACCTACACCCTTGTCAGACGAGACATATACCCATATACCACGTGATGACACGAAAAGGCTCGTGTTGTCTTCAAGGACCCTGACCTTGGCCAGGAAAAACAGGCACTCGCTTGCTTAATTTTTTTGCGGTCTAGATTTCTAATTTTTTTTTCTTTTTTGCGTGTGTTTATAAATTACCTCGCCGTATACGGCCCGGAGGTTCCCCACCCCTGCTATAAGCTATATGAACTGTAAAAGACTAACCATCCATCACATATATTACTGGGTCTCATAAGATCCACCAAGTGGAATGTTATGTTATGTAAAGTCCATACTGTAGTCTCTCCTTTGCATTGTCAATGTTACCGATTCATAACTGCTTTATTTATTTAAAATGACCACTGTTGTACAACGGATTAACTACACTTACACAACTTTCTTCCTCATCATGTTTTACATTTAACCAATCGATAACAATTTTCACAGAATCGCAACTTAAAAACCCCCCAATAATTAAACAGTATTGACAGAGATCTAAATCAGCAAAAGTGGTAAATACTATATATTCCACAGCATCCAGTTGCTTCTTATGTAATTACTAACAACAGATTTGAGAAAAGAGTGTTGCTTACAAAAAAATCTCATAAAACTTTCACACTGGAACTGAACAGGTATGTTTTGAAAATCAGTTTTGATCAATAAAAGCCAATTAAGTCAAGGCTTTAGTGATGGAAGATAAAACCGTTACTATCTTATTTTGAAGGAGCTAGACATGAGACAGGAGCACATGTGATGGCCATCCCGGCTATAAACCCTCATGCAGTTCTTACAGTAACCCACCTGGTTTGTGGTTTAAATACTGCGCAGTCTTATGCTCCTCGCCAGCTTTCCAGTCGAATCTTTTTGGGAAGAAACTACAGCTGGAGAAATGACATTTCGGTCACCGCAATGACGTAGCGGTAGTATGTTGCACAATAAAGGAGCCCCGCCCCCCAGCAGTCACATAATCCTGCCAAAGATCGTCTATTGAAAACAGGAAGCCTCGTCTGTTCCTCTGAACACAGAAACTAGTTATACACAGTTTATACATATACTTTAAATGTAAAATAACACTTATTTTGATTGGAATTCAATAATGTGTTAAAATTACTAGATTGTTAACCAATTCTAAATAAGATCTTAGTGGTATGAAGCATGTAAATCAATTAGTAATTTTACCCGAGTATTTATTTTGGTGGAATAAGTAATCAGTGTTCATCCTTGACTTTACAATGAGTACAGTCCTAATTTAAATTACAAATACATAGATATAATCAGGAATATGTTATTCATAGTAAAAGTATTTAGTACATTGTCTCTTAATATTGTTATATTAAGAAATAGCATGATGTTGTCCTGTCTATTTTGTTCTGAACAAACTAATAAGATCATTTTGTTTTTGTTAATTTGTAATGATGTAAATAAGTAGGGAGTTTATACTTTTCGATGAATATGTATTTTGACTACCACTCCCACCACTAGTAGTACATGAAATTAAAAACAACTAAATATACGTTTTTAAGGGGGATTTCAACCTTTTTTATTTCCCATGTTACTCAAAGCAACTGCTTAGATTACAAACAAACTTTAAAAAACTATATTTCATTAGAGATGTGACATTTCTTCAGCGCCCAATTTAATATTATCATACTTTTTTTTTCTTCTGAATTACCGTCGTACTGTAAAATGTATGGTTAAAGTAAGCACACATTGATAAAGTAAAATGACCCTCGGGTCTTAACATGAGCCTTGAAGCCGGCTGTCGAGCCTAACAGACTTGTTTACCTGTATCATGAGCATTTTTAATGGGGACTTTACTTACATGATCAACCTTACAATGTTACCCAATTCTCCTATCTAAGAACCCTGTCTCCACCTACTGGAGAACAGATGTTATGAAAGAAACAGCAGTGTGAGCTGTTACATGTTGTGCATTAATGAATGGGCTGTCTCAGTAATACCAATTCCAAAACAATAAATAACTCATCTGCTCAATTATGTGCACCAGCGTTCAGTGGTTATAAATCCAGAGAGACAATGCTGAAACAGTTGTAGAGTAATTAACTCCATGAATGAAACTGATAGACATAGCATGTTTTGGGACTTTGCCGCAGCACGTCCAAACATCTTGGAAGTATAAACAAGACCAACAACATGCTTTGACTTGTCAATAGGAATTAGTTTTAATTATAGGATTAGATATTTATGAACTGCAATTAGAAAACACACACACACACACACACACACACACACACACACACACACACACACACACACACACACACACACACACACACACACACACACACACACACACACACACACACACACACATTTAATATCTTTCTTTAATTGTGCAACCAGCTCTAGCACTTCCCTTGTTATTCCGCTAGGTGGCAGCATTGTGTTCAAACCCAGCCTCCATAACGCAGCTTATTGGGCAGGTAAATGTTGGTGAGGAAATCTGGAGCAATGGCTGCTAGTGACTGTATTTCAGCTTTGACCTTACTCCGCTGCATGATTTCCATCTGCAACATGAGCAAACACAGATTTAAGGAGCATGCAGGAGGAAGTCGCAAACAGGCATACATCTTCAGGTGTTTATCTCAAAGAACAGAGTGGCTCTTAAGTATTCTCAGCATCTGTGAGCGGAGAGTCCCCTCACATGCATTCCTATAGCGTGTGTCAGATGAGCAAATATGTTAAAATTGTGTAAACTTTGAGGAATAAAAAAACAAAACAGGTTAATTTACCTAAGAAGGCTCATAGGCGCGGGGAGTGTATTTGATTAGCCGTGTGTGTGATATGGACAAAATTCCCTCTCACAGCTTTGTCTTTTACTGATAAGGCTTATTGACCTCTGATAATGATCTGTTAGCTAACATCAAGCCAATCAATTTAATGTCTTTAGTGTTTTGGTAGAACAAATACTCATGAATGGAAACAAATCAAATTAGGTTTTCTAATGTTTGGATAGAATAAGGTTTATTAAACAGACATGAGAACTACTAAAATGATATCAAACACAAAAAGCTATGGAGATGAAATGATGAATAATAATGAATCATTTCAGCCCCACGACCACTTCACTTGAAGTAATAGTTTCAGTTACTTCCCTTCATTGCTCTTTATCTAGCTATGCATGTTCCCCCCTCAGCTCTCCCCTAGAGCACTTTCTGCAGTGTTTCCCATACATTGATTTATTTGTGGCGGGCCGCCACAATTAAATATCGTCCGCCACAAATGGATCTCATAAAAAAATTATAATTATTAATAATATATATTTTTTTCTTTTCTTATTTGGTAGTCTAATGGATAGTGAGGTGGGCTGATGATCGGAAGGTTGCGAGTTCAAATCCTGCCTGGAACACCACTACTAGTGTGCGCTTGAGTAAGGCACTTAGCCCTCGGTTACTCCAGGGAGAATGTCCCTGTAATTGGTCATTGTAAGTGGCTTTGGAATAAGGCGTCTGCTAAGTGCCTGAATTGTAATTTGTAAATGATATTTTTGGGAGAATAAACCCCACGGATCCTCAACTCCGGTGTGTTTCACTCATTAACAACGCAACACAGAGCAACAAGATCGTTGTCTACAGTAGCCATGAACTCGCATGTATTATCTTATTTGAGGGGGGGTGGATGCATCGACCACCCGAATAGGTTAAGGGGCCTTTGGCTTTTCTTGCCGGCTCTTGCCGGGGGGGGGGGTGCGGTGCGATGCCCCCACAAATAGAATCAAATTCTGTGGGAAACACTGTTCTGTCTCACCTCTTTCAGCCACTCTGGTTGGCTGGCTGAGTACGGCCTTTGGAGGAGGCTAATGAGTTTACTTTCATCTCTCTTGGTGAGGGGGATCAAAGCGTCCTCTGGAACCCGCAACCTAAAGAATGAAATGTTGATTTAACAAAAACAGAACCAAATTGATTTTCTAAAAATGACAGCAGCCAGTTCTGTTGAATGTCGTCCCCGCAGTGCGTCTCCTCCCATTCTCAACAGACTCCCATTGAGGAGTTATTATGTGTATGTTTAGGGAGAAACATAGGAGGAGAGAAGTCTACAGACTACAATTAAATGTATGTCTAAAAGCCATTTTGGCCTTAACTTGTTCAAGGGGACGTATACTTAAAACTCTATCTGCTCCAAGATGCAGTGGCTTGAAGTGGAAAAAAAGTGAGGGCGACAGCAACAGAAACCAAAACAAATATAGAATAAAATCCCAATTAGAGGTAGGAGGAGGAAGTAGGAAGTAGCAAATGTTGAGTCCAAACCTCTGGAGGTCAGAGGGGAGGAGGCCTAGCCACATAACGCTGGGGACGGTCAGGCTGTGGGCCTCGAACGACATGGACTGTGGAAAAACCAACGCACATCAAAACACACATAAACAGAGGCGCAGAATGCTTATACACATAATATATCTCAAATAAACACACTAATCAGCAAGATACAGTACCAACATGATGTGGTTATGTCCAACACGTGTTCACCATGAAGTTAATGAACACGAGGATGATTACACAAACATCCCAGAGGCCAACAAAGACTTTGCCACACAATAACTCAACATTTTCACCCCATACACTGTCAGTTGAAATATACGAGACGGATGATTTGTTTGTTTTTTTAACAGATAATTACATATTGCTAACAAAGACACTGTGGATAGTGTACAGTACAGGGATAAGTGGCATAGCAGGACTCACCAATGATCCGTACTTGTAGATGGACATGATCTCAATTCCTGGGAAAAATCAGAGGCAGAGACACAGACACGTTGCAATCACCGACACACCAGAGCAATTATCCTCCACGGTGTGTAAGGGAGCTTAGAACAAAGTAAAGCATTACATATGTGTCTCGCCATGTGATGGGAAAAGGTTTTAGAGGTACTGATGGTAACTGAGCCATTCCCGGCAGGATCAGATCCCGCCAGCGGAAATAACAGTCAGACTAGAAACCATGACGCAGCGCACAGGTGCTAACATCTGCTGGATTAGTGGCACAAGCAACCCAACTGTGTGTGTGTGTGTGTGTGTGTGTGTGTGTGTGTGTGTGTGTGTGTGTGTGTGTGTGTGTGTGTGTGTGTGTGTGTGTGTGTGTGTGTGTGGAGATGAAAAGACAGGCAAGTGTTTGTAACTATGTGCAGTATGTGTGAGAGCTTTGCAATTTAGACAGATGTTAGCTTACCATGCGGGTCAGCATCCACCAGAGCGAAGATGGGGATGTGCAGCGTGTCCCAAAGCTTCCTCACCATCAACCTGCTGTTCACATCTGGCACGCCTTTACCCTGCTCCACACAAACACTTCGGTTATGCAGACACTTATACTGGCTGTTGGAGAAATTCCTAAAAATGTAATGAAAGAGAATATATCAAAAGTGAACCCACTGTAATCATGATGCAAGGAGACAGCTTTGTGCAGAAGTTGTCATCCAGCAGTCTCTGAAACGTTGCATCTTTCTCTACTATCATGACAAACTTTGCAGAGGAGACCATATCTGTGTGTGGTTGAGGAAAAGAAAGACCCGGCATCGATTTCCTTACAATATATGACATTCTCAGAAGTACCGGAGACTAGTGACATAAAGGGGAAGTCATGTGAAAACAGTGTATAACTCTCAGACCAATCCCAAAGGATACTTCTAATCCCTGCAATGTTTGATGAAACTGCAGAAACCTAAAACAAAATACAGAAATACAAATCAGTTCAACTAAACTAAATGTAGTCCTTTCTGACACATGACTTGTAGTATTGTTTGTTTTGTGGGGAACACATGGGAAAAACATGAGAATATACAATTTAAACCCTTTTTACCATGAAGATACTTTATGTACCTTAAAGTATAGTGTATAATGTTTCCGTGTGTTTTTCAGTTAGTGGGGCAGCTAGTTCGGGTTATTGAAGGAACTTACAACCGTGCTGGAGCGGCAGTCGATCCTTGTGCCGTCCGCCTCCATATAACACAGATCCCCAGAGATTAGTCCCTTGGATGTGGCCAACTGTTGACATAAAAGTAAGTTATTGAATGCTCATATTAACACATGCATTTGCACACATCTGAAAAGGTTTTGAATTCAACTTTCATTCAAGTTCTGTTTGATCAGAGGAACCTTTTTACTCCATAGGTGAAAATATGAAGCAGAAAATAAACACTAAACTAACAGAGTTGATCTGTGGCATCTGAGGCCTGTGCTACGAAGCTGGTTCAACATAACCTGGATATGTTTGAGTTAGCCGGTTGGCCTAATCCAAAACATGGTTATCAAGTGGATCGCTCAAGCCAGCCGTGCCCTATCTAGTTACTTTGATCGGGTTACTTATGTTGTGGCAGATATGTAAGTAAGCTTTCTTAACGCTAATGTTATAATAGTCAGATTGCTCTGAAGATGTTCACGTTCACAGTCAGTGATTTTTGCCGGCCGTCTTTCCTGCAACGGAGGTTTCCTTTCTCCTGTAATATGACTTAATCGCTTTAAACTCCGCACACTGAGCTCTGATTGGTCAGCAGGCAGTGCTTTCACTGAGTTGATCTCTTAGCCTGCAACCTAACCTGCTCCGGGGCAGGTTAGCCGCACAGCATAAGTTACCATGGAGATCTAGCTCGCTAAAAAGAGAATCAGCGTCGTAGGACCGGAAACCCAGAGTTTTCCCTGAAGTTAGCTCGCTAAGCGAAAATCCTGCTTCGTAGTACAGGCNTTTATTAAATCAGTTGTCCACCTACTGCAGGGGTGGCCAACCCGCGGAACTCGAGCCGCATGCGGCTCTTTGCCTAGTTTCATGCGGCTCTTCAGTTCATATCGAATTTTATATGTGTGAGTTTGGGGGAGAGACACTTACTCCTGACTAGTGTTGCACGGTGTACCGATACTTGAAAGGTATACCGCGATACCCTGCCGTTAAAAACGTTACGATTCCTCCGTTTCATTAGTATCGATACTTTAAGAATGACGGAGGAAAGTACTCCGGTGAGAATGCGCGTTTTAATAAGAGCCGTGTGTGTTCAGCGCTCTGCTTCCACTCCCTGCACTGCAGCCGTGCCTACAGTCCCGCCCCTCTCAAGCACGCTCTAAGTCCCTCCCCTCTCTCGTGCACGCGCTCGCTGCCAGAGCATGTGAGAAAACGAGAAGCATGGCTGCAAGTGGGAGTGCAACTGCTGCTGCGCCTCGGCTTGTTGACAAAAAAGACGCCAGAAGCGAAATGTGGATGTATTTTAGCTATATCTCTGACAGTGAGGGCAAGCCTACGGACACCACGAGGACTGTCTGTAAGAAATGTTTTAATTTTATTTAATACGAATTCTTGTAATTTATTTTATTTATTGTTCTCATTGTTTAAAAGTGTTTGTGTTATAGTTATGGTTCTGGTGTGAAATAAAGCACAATAATTACATTTAAGACTGTTTCGAAAAAGAATCGGAATTCTTGACTTGGTATCGGTATCGAAACCAAAATGTTGGTATCGTGACAACACTACTCCTGACAGTTAAACCTGATATTTAGTAGGTCTGTTAAGTATCGAATGCTGATAATTCTGACTTAATTTGGCCGGTCAAAGTTGTTTGGGCTCGGATAAAATCGCTCTGTTACTTTCGTCCCGTGTTACTTTCGTCCCGGCTCTCCCTACGTGTGATTGGTTCTTAGCCGTGATATACTGAGCGTATACCACGGGTAGAATTGTAAGTTACTTTTCACAACAAGTCAGTATCCCTCCGCGTCTGAGAAAAACAGTATATCGTTGGGCTGAAAAGCAAACTGCCGCTTCGCGTCGGGCCGAACCACGCCCCTTAGCTGTGATATAATGAGCATATACCACGGCCTGTCGTGAGCTATTGCTTAAGTATATCCTGGGTTACAATTATTGGATGAATTTCCATAACATTTTGTACAGATATCCATGTTTCTCCTAAGAGTGTATCCTATTGCCGTTGAAGAACCTATCGTCAGGTTTTTATTGAGAGCATGTTAGCATTTAACATTTAAGAATTGCTGTACATCCTCACAGAGCAGCTAGCCAGACTGTAGATTTGTGTTCTAGTGAGAACAAGAATGCTGTATTTGTGTCCATGTATTTGCTTTTGGCCAGTGCTGATCTGTGCTATATGTGTTGTGTGTCCAAGAGAAACTGTTTTAAAATGGCTCTGTACCTGGGAAACTGTCTGAACTCCCCAAGAGACTGTCACCAATAGAGCTGCACAATGCGAGATTCTGTGTCACAATAAACCAATTTAATCGGCCTAACACTCTGAAATGAAAATGCAGGAGAGAAAATGTGCACCATCCCAAACAATTAATTCATTTGGTTTTGGCTATTTGGTCTTACACGGACATTTAGGCTATAAAGGAAATCAGTATAAAGCGACCATGTTTATTGGTCTCCATAATGCTGCCATTTCAATCACGCAACATACATAACGGCCAACTAGTTCAGCCCTGGCAGCAATACGGCATGTCAGACTGTTATCTCTGCTCCACAGAAGATATACATTTTGTCCAGACAAATGCTTCAAGTAATAAGGGGAGAGAATACATATCTAATTGTATCACTGAATGCATTGCTTCTTTAGGTCTAACAGCTGGAGAAAAAAGATGTTTCCACCTCCGCCCTCGGTGAGATGGGGGCCCTGAAGTACAGTTTTGTTTGTCATACAATCCATGGAGCTGTCTGGGGATGAACGCCCTCCAGAGGCTCATTCATAAGATAAATTGGCCTGAAAGTCATGGGTCCTGCAGACAGTCTGTGTCTCCCTTTATATGTCTCACTCTCTCTCCTGCTTTTATGATACAAACACACACTAACATACACAGACGTCCCCTAATGCCCTCATGTTCTTCCATGTTATTCGCGGATGCAGTAAGCCGGGGCTAAAAGAGGAAAAAGAAAAACACCTTTGCATCTGTCTGAGTAGCTGAAGTCCAGCCTAGGGCCTACAACGCTTCAGTGGAGTGTGCTGTGATTTGACAAGGCCAGTGACAGGAGGCCCTGTAAATATCCGGCTGTCATGTGACTCATTTTTTGGCCTCAAGGAACCAACGAAAGGTCAACGTTTCCTGATGCCATTGCCAACAACTAAATTAAGTGACTTCATCTCTTGCTCATACATATGTACCATTTTAGGAGATGGAGACATTGAAGGTGTTGCATCACACTGCTCATGCAAGGCAATGACCATTCACATTCACATTTATAGCGGAACACACAACAAACATCCATGCATACACACAAACACACACAAGTACACACTGGGTTTGTTATACAAGCTCATCTGCCATGCTGAGACGTAGGTATATATATACGAACAAACACACACTGTCACGCAATCACAACCTTTTGGGTTTGTCTTCATGCATGTCATGTCGGACAGTGACAGCAGAGCATTAACACGTCTGCACAGCTTCGCTCATAAAGCAAATTATGATCCATGTTCTTTATCCGAATACGGTGCTAAAGGTTAAATAGAATAATTTGTGTCAATAATACAACAAAGATATTAAACTTGAAATGATCTGGCATTTTTTTGAAATGCATGCCTCTGTTTTTGTAATGTATCCCGCATACATGTGTCCAGCTTTTAGTCGAATACTTGTACTTATTTGCAAAGGCACCACAACTTTTCTGCTTAAATGGACACAACAAAAGTGTAATGCACAAGGAGAAGAAAGACAATCCAGTAAACAAAATCATTTCTATGTACATTCAGAAATAGATTGAGAACACTCCAATATAAGATCATTTGTTGGAAGGAAAAGCAAAGCTGGGGGACAGCGCTAGAAGTAGTGGGTGTTTTAAAGCAAAAATAGAAGCTCACAAATGACCAAAAACCCTGAAACTCTCTAATGCACCCAGTGGAGTGGCAACTAATGGAATATCTGCCCATGTTTTAAAACACTCTACTGATTAATTTGGAAACTCAAATACATTTTCCAGACCGCCACTGGTTTATTTCCTTGTTAATCTGACGCTCTACAGATAAAATGCAGTATACTTTGTACAATTTACTGTGCCATGGGGAGACGTGAGAGATCATGGAGGAAATATGTTAGACAGAACAAGCAGCCAAAGCAATAAGCAATAGCAGTAAGTCATGGGTCTCTCTAAGTGGAGGCTGAGGGGGGAGAAATACAACAAGTTTGGGACTTGCATTTTTAAGTGGATTGCATTTATAAAGCGCTTCTCCAGTCTTTATGACCCATCAAATAGCCTTTTGCAACACATGTCATCATTCGCCCATTCACACTTCCATACCATCTGCTCATCAGGAGCGATACACATTCACACACACTCACACACCTTTCGCAATGCCATCAGGAGCAATTTGGAGTTCAGTATCTTGCCCAAGGACACTTTGGCAAGTGGACCAATGGGGTCTGGGATCGAAAAACCACACACCCATGGTGGACGACCACTCACACTACGGCCAATGATCAGTTGAGTAGAATTGAGAAATGAGCAGCCAGGTTCAGGTTAACAGTACACTCATGAGGGCCTGAGGTACAACAAGCCAGAAAGAACAAACATAAAGCTTTGCCTTTTTATATATTGTGTCAAAAATCTATTGAGAATAAATCTACTGGTTGCTAAGTTCCGAACAACTGACTAAACTAAATAGCATCTTTTCTGCAGCATAAAATAGCTATGTGACAATAACAGCATTTTTTTTAAACGTTATCTTTTTCCTTTTTTGTGGAGAGGTGCTATGTATGTACAGTACAGTATGTAGTCAAAGACACTTATCAAACACATTTCAGTCAGACAACTCACGTGTTTCTTTAACATGTTTATTAGAAGCAGCATATAGTTAGTTTGGCGACTAGGCTCGGGCATCATCACTCCGTAGATATACATAGCACGATGAGTGATGATCGAATAACTAACCCCCAAGCCTACAGGTGGAAGCGGGTGGAAGCTGGGGTGGTGGTGGGGCAGGCAAGCAGCAGCGACGTAGAGGTAGCTGCGGCAATAGCAGCAGCAAGCAATGCATAGAGAGATATCTGGCAGGTTAAATAGAGCGGCATATTAAGGAGACTCTGTTTGGTTGGTTGTAGAATGGCAAGGGGCGTTATGTATGAATGCAGCATAAGTGCTCGAGTTGACTGCCTGAACTAGCTCGCAGGCTTCGCCCCATTACTCCAAAGCAAAATACAAGTATATTCCAAACATATTCCCTAATATGGCAATAAATC